TATTACTCTTTATAATAATAACCCTTAACTTTATCTAGTGTCTATTTTCAAGTAGCTTCTCGGAGCTCTAAGTACTTTATGGTTTATTATTTATACCTACTTATTGATAAAGATGGCACTTTATAGTTTTAAGGGGCTTTACAATTATTCTTGCTAATTACTCATCCTCATGCCGCCATCGTCCTAGAAAACATCACCATTTTGAAGGTGAGTAAGTAGTCCCTCGGCTTAGGAAGGAATGTCGGTTTGGCACTGAGGGCCCATGGATTTTTTACTGAGATAGTGGCCCCCTGCTTCTAAAATGTGACTTGGACGTAATTTTTGGAGTACTCAAGTGCAAGGAACTCATGTTACATAGATCTTCAGATTACCACCAAACCCTTTCTTTACTAATGCTGCTAAGGTTTTGCTTTAAGCCAACTGTCAGTTTTATGTTTCAAGTTGTGATTTGTGATACCTGTGTCCTTTTGGCTTTGGATGGTTTTACCCCCAAGGCAAGGGAGACGGCCAGAGTCTGGAAGAACAGGATTGCTCTGTATCCATGCATTCCAGCTCCCGTTGGGTGCTGCTCTGGGCTTGCCCCTCCCTGTGCAGACTCCACAGCTTTGCCTCTCTTTGCCCTTGGAGACCCTCCCTTTGTGACCAACTCACAAAGATGGTCAGAGGAACTTTGTGTCTTCCGCTCATACCAGCTCTGGGTGGGAATGTGTCCACTCACACGCAGACTTAACAACTTTACTGAGCACCTACTGTGTGCCATGCACTGAGTATGTTGGAAATCCATTTCCTGTAGACCTTGATCACTACTTCATATTTACAAATTCTCTGTAGGGTGTTTTTTTTTTTTTTTTCATCTTTCATAACAATATGGCAGGTTTCTTGATTACTCAATTCTTAGTAGCTGCTATGGTCCAAATGTTGGTGTCCCTCCAAATTCATATTGAAATCCTAATGTCTCATGCAGTGGCATTAGGAGATGGGGCCTTTGGACAGTGTTTAGATCATGAGGGCAAAGCTCTCATGATTGGGATCATTGCTGTTAATAAAAGAGATCCCACAGGGTTCCCTGGCTCCTTCTGTCAGGTGATGACATAGAAGGTGCCAGCTGACTTCTCGCCTCCAGAACTATTGTCATGTATAAGCCACTTAGTCTGTGGTATTTCATTATAACAGCCTGAAAGAACTAAGTATCTGAAACTAACAACTAAGTTGACTTAATATCCTTGGTATCTCTGCATTCCAAGAGTGTTCTTTTAGGACGGGAATCCGAGAGGCATGCTAGCTTTTGTAGTGTCCCATCCTTCATCAAAGGATTATTCTGTGCTTCCTGGCCCTGTGTCTCCAGCACACCTCATGTTATATTCTCCCATTGAAATGGCACTTCTATTACCTTGGCAATGCGGATGCCCACAGGCAAAGACAAAACAGGCACACAAGGCAGAAAAAAGTTGGTGGTGTTAATGTTGCATTTAGAAATTTAGCTTTTTATTGTAGAAATTACCTATAATATAGGAATGCACATATAATATACCTTTAAAAATGGCTGATTCCCAGCTCACCCCTGGAGTCCCACACTGCAGTACTTTTCCAGTTTTTCCCTCACCAAGTTTGCATTGCTGGCTAAACACTTAATTTATAAAGTTAAAAACATGTTTTGGGATAAAGAGAACTTTGGAATAAACAAAGTTTTTGTTGTTGTTCTTTGCTAATTATCTCTGTGATCCTTTTGAAAAAATTTCCCTATAAAATTAGTAATCAAGATTGTTAAAAATTAACTGCTATTACAGATAACCCCCCAAATAAGGACAATTTGTCCCCAAAAGCGCTTAGTTTTAATTCAACCTTCATTTGAAATAACTTTTTGAAAGAAAGTGATAAATACTAGTAGCCAAAATACAACCATTTAATCAATTTTGTATTGATTAAATACCTCTAAGGTTATTACTATCACTTTAGAACAGGGTGAGGTTTGTTACACTAAACACATAACAGCCATGCCTTGCTTGGCTGTATCTGTGAACCCGCACGGTGGCAGTACAGCCACACTATGGTACCATGAGGGGAGCGCAGGCCCTGGGCGTTGTCAGCTGATTTCTCACACACTCGGTCATTATTGCACCTTCTGTGGGCAGGTCACTCCATCTCGCTGCACTTGAACTTTTTCAGCTGAGAAGTAATAGTACCAGCCCTGCTTGTCCCATCGTGTTGTTACGGGCATTAGATGAGCTAACAAATGTGAAAGGGCCATGAAATTTGAAACATAATGACATGTAAGAATTCTCAGTGTTGTCTGCTACGCCAACTGAATGAATAATAGAATAAAGAGAATAAAGTATGTTTTTTTTTCCTGCATATTTCGTGAGGAAACTACATAAAGGAATTTTGAGAATAAAATACAGTTGACTCTTGACCAATGTGGTGGTTTGGGGTACAGTCAAAAATCCATGTGTAACTTTTGACTCCCCACAAACTTAATTACTAATAGCCTACTGTTTACCAGAAGCCTTACCAATAACATAAACGGTCAGTTGACATATATTTTGTATGTTATATGTATTATGTACTGTATTCTTACAATAAAGTAAGCTAGGGCAAAGAAAATGTCATTAAGAAAACCCCACATTTATTTAACTAATATTTATTAGGTACCAGCTAAGGGAAAGTTATTCGATTTGGTGGATTAAGAATTACAAAGATTAATCGAGTGTGGATTTGGAATCAAAGATTTACAATACAGTATGTAAATATTGGAAATAACATACCTTCTTTCTATTCATCTTTAAAACTGCAAGCTCAGCACATAAAACTGGTGCATATAAGACCTTCAATCTGCCAATAATGGAGTTTGGACAAGTACAACACTCTTCCCTCTGTACCAGTTTTGTCTCATTATTTAGGTACCTAGACTGAAAAGGAAGTAGAGAGAAAATAAAATACTAATGGTTTGATTGAATTCCAGTCCTTATTATTATGGGCTAGTAATTCATTTCATTATAGGAATAGCGCCATATACCAAAGCACTGGCTTCCGATGCTAAGAATGTATTTGTGGATAAGCAAAAGCATTATTATTATACATTAGGACTTGCTTCATAGCTCAGGCCAAACTAGAAATTGGATGGAAGTGTTAAAAAAGGGGATTTCTGTCTGAGCAGCATATTTTCACCTTTCTCTAACCGACAAAACCATGGCCTATGGCAGTTCACTCAATCTCCTTTTTATTAATATTGGCAGTGACAGAACACACCCAGTTTCATTACTGCCTGGCTCTTCAGGTGCTTTCAAACATATTAGCTTTTGTCGCCCCCACTTAACTGCTGGGGCAAAGAGAGCTGCAGAGGGGTGAAGTGACTGCTGCCTCAGCAGCCCCCGCAGGCCCCTGGGGCAGGGCTCAGACCCTTCATCTCCCAGGTCTCCCTGGTTCTAAGCTCATTTACATGATGTGTACCTGGCCCCAAAGAACATCTTGGATTTTTTATACTGTCATTCCCTGGCAAGGTCATTCACTTTTGTATATTCACTCTATAACTTTCATCGGCTATAATGAAGGGAGGAAATTTAAACATATGGTTTTTCTAGGGACAGGGCTCTCATTTCATTATTTGACCTTTGTCAAGTTATTTATCATGTTATCTGACTGCCTTCCAGAAATAGCAATGGTGACTGCTCTCACCTTGGCTTATTGTCCTCAGGCCAGTTGAGAATCTAAGCAAGACTACTGTGCAGCGGAGAGTGAAGAACCTTCCTCACCCTCCTGAAGGTCTCCATTTCCCTGGTTGTGAGTCGAGACTAAGTTCACAGGTCAGAGATCTAGCAAGATGTTGGGATGTATTTCAGGTCTTCAGATAGGAAGGAAACGGAGCACACTGCTATTTTCCCCACCTCACATTTATTCCCACAAAAGCTTTAACTCCAGGCTGTTACTGAGGAGCATCGTTGTGTTGATGGAGGACAGGTGAGGTGCTTGGAGCCTGGGAGTGAGGAAACCAGCATTCAGTGATCCGGATCTGTTTCAGGCTGCGTTTTGTGTTGTTCCATCCAGGATGAGAGCATTCTTGGCTTCCCATCAGCACACACCTCCTGGAGCGGTGCCTTCGTCTGCACTTTTGGACAACTGCCTATTCTGTCTGTAGCATCTCGTCTTTTCTCTGTGTGTTTAACTTGCTGTTTTACTTGGCTAATTTGCATGGGATTCTTCTAATTCCAATGAACACAAGTGCAACGTGTACTTTTCCTAGCTAACTATATGCTAAGCCCAGTGAGTGTAATGAAGTAGGGAATCAGGTTTTTCTTATTTTGGAAAAGAGCACACAATTGGCCTTTTGAGGAAGATGCTCCAGTGTCAGTTAGAACTTCAGTGTGACAATCTTTGCATTGCCTGCCTCCTTTAGATGTCTTGCTCCAGGATGATTAAGGCTCTGATCTGTAGGAACTCTGTTAAGTATATCCAGGTTGCCCAATCTCTGTCCTCCACATCCATTACCCAGGGTGGGACTAAAGGTCTTGACCTTGTCACTCTTCCTGAGGACAAGAGCAGAGGAATTGATGAATCCAACTGTGAATGCAGGGTCCCTGAAAAAAGAAGGAAAAATCCTTTCCAGCACATCCATCCATCTATCCAAATCTTCTCTTGCTGTCTGTGATGCCTGCTGATAGTTGATAGCAAAAAGAAAACGTGAAATTGGCTCTGCTATTTAATGTGTAAGAGAAAGGTAAATGAGTCCCTTATAGTTCTTTCCAATTTTTTAAGATGGTAATTATGAGAACTAACACCAGCCAGGCTTGAGTAAATGCACACAAGACCCCTATAGGCAGCACAGTGTATTAATGTAAAAATATGCCTAGACAACATAACTTGTCAGAGAGGATTATTTCTATTTAGTGAGTCTGCAGGAGCCCCTTTGCTCCACCATTCAGAATTTGAGTAGAGAGGAGAGTGGGGCAAGAGAGAGAGAGAGAGAGAGAGAGAGAGGAAGAGAGGGAGGGAGGGAGGGAGGGAGGGAGAGAGAGAGCGCGCGCATTAGTGAACAGCTACTGTGGCATTGATGTTTGAGCGCACTTCTGAACTGGCTTTGTTGAGACTATCAGTGTCTCGGTGCAGAAAGCATGCGCTGTCCCAAATCCGCTGTTACTATGAGAAATGAGGAGCTGCTTTTAAGGTATGTTGTGGTGGCCTTTGTTTTAATGTATGCTTTTCTCGTTTCCAGAACTGGCTGAAACAATAATCATGCTCTGAAGCAAGTAGCTTCCTTATCTTAGAAGAGAAACAAAAATAATCTAGAGGGGGAAAGAGAAAGAAGGAAACAAAATCGAGACCAAGAGATTGGGAGAAAGAGAGAGCAAGCAAGAGAAAGGAAAAGGACTGCTGTGTGCGAGTTCTATTTGCACGAGTTGCCTTTTGAAAGCTTATCTTGTTTTTGCTCGCTTCGATTTGTGAGTGGCCAGTGGCTCATTTTAAAGGCTCCGAATCTAGCTCTTGGTTTGTCATTTCCTTTGCAATGTCTAAGCCTCTTTCCTTATTATGCACTCTGCATGAAATAATCACCGAAAAAGGAGCTAAGGAGACCCCATATTAGACTTGCGTTCCAAATACCGCTCTAATCTGGACTTAGCCTACCTAGATAGTCCTTCTGTGTTACCAGGTTTGGATCACTTTGTCCTGTTTGCCAAAATGTGTACCTGTTTAAATACCTCTGTTCATGCATGGCGTTCTGGATCCCCATGTATTGAAAACAAATATTTGTTTCCTCCATCTATGTTAGGGTTCTTTCGCACCCAGAGAATGAGCCACCACTGACCTTTTGGAAGCAGAGAAAGAATTACGAGAGAATTGGCATCCTGCTTTGAAAAATGTAGTCTTTTGTTTATTTGCTAGCAGACATTGTAGCACTGAATACATCTTTGGGTCTGACAATGGGACCGGTTGAACAATGGAGCTGTCAAACTAGCTTAATGCATGTCTGGGCCTTTTTTTTTTTTCTTTCTAAACACCCTTTTTATCTGCTATAATCTTGTTTGTATAGACTATACAGAATGAAAGCTTTTAGCACTGCTTGTTTGTGGGTTTGTGCTTTTAAAAAATTTAATATCTGCCGTTCATAGAGCTTTTTGCATTTTGCAGCTATGTCGGTTGGATTAAGTTAGAGATTTATTGCTTACCTCTCTGTTAACTACAGAAAGAAACGTATTGATTGAGACTGCTTGTAATACCATTATCATTCTGGCAAATACCTTGTTATCAGACATGCCCCTACAGTATTTATGCTTGGGGATTTAAAATTTGCCAATTTGGTGAACTTATGGAATGTAGCAAGAGAGAGAAGTTAAGGGGAATATTTCTGTGTTTTAAGTAAATTTTAATTTTTAGTCTGTCTCTCCTCTTTTGGCATTCAGATAAATAAACAGTTTAGAAATTCAAGGACAAGTGAGAACTTTTGCCCTTATAATTTTGGTCACAAACCATTACTATAAAACCTTTTAAGTTGTTAAGTTATAGCTCTCTATGGAACATACTGATTTCTGATATATGGTTATGTGCTCATAAAACGCATTTCCATGCTGGGCAAACATTCCTCACATCTTCCAAAATCTTTCTTTTTCTAACGTAAGCATTGGTTTCTGAGGTGCATACAGTGAGACTTCAAAAAGAGAAAATGGGAAAATCTGATTTGAACTTCTCATTATATTGAAATCATTTTTTTTCTCCCACTAGATATAAAAGAACGGGCCCTGTAATATTAAATGGTAATTGATTTCCATGCAAATCATCTCACTAAGGTTAGTTTCTGTAAAGAATAATTTTTACCTAACAGTTTACTGTTTTTAATTAGCTGCTTGTGCCAGAGCAATATTTTGAAAAATATTAGTAAATTTATGGAAAGAGATTAAGAATGTAATTTTTAAAAACAGAAGGGGAATCCTTTCAAAGGGCAAAATTTTAAAATATTTAGTTACAGATATTTCCTCTTGGATTATATTGTGGTTCAAATTAGTGATACTGCTGGTAAATAAGGAACAAGATGTATTCCTTATGAAAACACAGTTATGAAATATTAATTGTTTTTTAGAGTTTGGATATACATTTTGATTTTTTAAACTTAAATTGAAATGTTATGAAATACTTAATTGAGAATAATTCAAATTAATGTTACAGGCTAAATAAATTGCCTTCTCAAGTATAGATTTTTTTATGGACAATATATTCAGAGCCCGGGTGGACCCCAAACGAATCTGCAGCATAATGATATTTTAAAAGTTATCCATTGTGAATAGAGTGGATTTTAAATGCGTACTTATTATGTTCTCTTACTTCCAATGGGATCTGAACTGCTCACTCCATCGGGCATGCCAATAATTGCTTTTAGGATGAGCTCATAAAAGGTAATTGGTGAAGCTTTATAACCGAAGCTAGTCCACTGTTGCCAGCACACCTAGATTCTGCTTTCATGGGAAATTTTTATTCCAAAACAAAGGTTGCAAAGCAATTTTTTTCTGGTTTGGAAGTAGCCTCCTGTGCTCCCTAGCTGCCTGTCAGTAGCACATTGAGAAAACATATATATACATATATAAAATATATACACATATATGTCTATATATATAAATATATGCATATGTGTGTGTATATATGTAACTTTGGAACCTCCATGTTGAATTTTTAACTGAATTATAGTTATTTACCCGAGATCTATTTGTTTGGACTTCTTTCTGCTCTCAGGTCCGAGAAGGAGGGAAATCCTTTCTCACTTTGCTTCTCCTGTGGTTTGATCCATTATAAGCCGGAATTTGGAGACCCCATTTCCAGCATTCCACACACATACTACCTTTTCCTTTAGCCTGATGGGAAGGGATGAGATTGTCTGAAGTTGGCAAACTTGTCCATATCTATTTTCTCTTGTCTGTAAGGGTGACAGGATACTTAGTCTGTATCCTGCCATCAGCCTCTGCATGTGATGATCCCCCTCGAGAGTGACCTAAACAAATGCCAAAGTAAATTTTAATTCTAAGCCCAGACTTACAGGAAAGGAATAGCAAAAGATTGAAAGTGGGAAAATGGCTTCTTTCAATAGAGTAACGATTGCACCGAGTCCTGTCACATGCCAAGCCTCTGAAATACCCACGTAGATGTGTTCAGCAGACCACAATATAGGATCTGTAACCTCTGTGCATTAGCATCCCTTTATTTGTTAAAATAAAACCTCACCGTTTTTTCTTTCTTTCTTATTTTAATATGAGTGTATACAATTGCAAAATACCCCTCTGGGGCTGAAAAACAAAGAAGAGCATTTGATTAATATTCATATCTGGAACTTTATAGCAAGTACACACTGTGTTTGAATATGTAGGAAGTCATTCCAAGAGTGAATCAATACTAATTATTGTAATCAGGGGGGTTAATTAGGTGAAAATGTGGCTGATGGAAAGTTCATTGCTCACAACCCTGGAAACACTAAGGTTGATGAAAAGAAAGGTAAAACGCAGAAGGAAGAGTGCTGTGTGGGAATGATTGCTCCCTTTCAACGGGTCAGGGTTTGTAGATGAAAAACGTATCTTGATTTGGTATAATCGTGGTGGTGAGGAAATTAGAAATCTCCGACTTAGGTTCTTGGACAGAAATTTCTGTAAAAGTCACTACGACTGGAGTTTGTTTAGTGACATCTCCTCCAGCTCCAAAGCATCTTTCTGTACCTCTTCAGGCAGTAACAAGTAGTCTGTTTAGTTGCAATAATGCTTTCGATCATCCTTATTATTTCGTGAATTTCTTTCTACATTTTGGTAATCCCTGGGGGATTTCCCCTTTCATAAAACTATTGATTGCTTCTCTAATGTTTCTTGGCTTTGGGAGTCTTTCTAAACTCACAGTGACTTTTATTCTGCAGGAAAAACAAGGCAGCAGTGGTTTAGAGAGGATTAAAATCCATGGCATTTTCCTTAACTGACATTGGGAAGAGGGTGTCAGAGGAAGGAAAGCATATGTGAGGTTTTAATGTTGTAGCCCATTAAGACTCGAAATGAAGTGTCCTAGAGCAGTAGCACCTTTCTGATCACATGGTTCCAATGTACAGAGACCGGACTGAGATGGAAGCCAGATACATGTGAGAGAGGGAGAGAGTGTACGTGCGTGTGTGCGTGTGCGCGTGTGCATGCGTGTGTGTGTATTTGAATCTTCGCTCACTTCAGAAATGTGCTGGTTAACCCTGATTTGGGATGAGGTGCACTTCGTTCCCAAACGTGTTCTGCTTTATGTGACATCTTTTAAGAATTATCATGCACAGGTATGTTTGTCTTCTCCATAGCGTCCTTCTGACTGTGTGACTGCTCTCAAGCACATTTTCTTGTATGTCAAGACCATCAGAGTTAACAGGAAATGGCATCTGTGGGGAGAGGACGACACTAGCCCAGAATGACATGTATTACCAGGACAGCTTGCGCCGCCACCTCAGCCCATTCCAAGTTGACCCGCCCTGATTGGCTGTTTAGGATTATGATGAATCACTGGAGTTTATGAAGCAGGACTTGCCAGCATGCCCTCAGAGAAAAAGAAACACTAGAATTTTCCTATAAAATCATTCCGTCCAACCAGCTTTGCGTCTTGGCCAAGCAGAGCTGGAGGTTTGAAGTTTTAAGGCTGATAAACCTACAATACTCGGAGCTTTTTAAATGCCTATCTTGAGAAAGGTGGCAGCTGCAGTCAGTAAAACCTCTGCTGAAACCCCTGGATGGCACTGCTGGTTCTAGCTGGCATAGACACCGACTGGAATGGTCACAATTGTGCCTGATAGAGTCGTGGATCAGAGGCTTCTCACTCCTCCTGTGAAGCTGCCCATCTCAGTAATCCAAGGGCTGTGGGCCCTGCAATGCAGTAGTCTTTGCCATGCTGTGCTTTTTTAATATCTTGGTCTGAGACCCTAGCTCCCTTTTGGGTTCTGTGAGATGGCTGACTGGTCACTCAGAGGTGGTTTAAGAAGTACCTCTGTAGATGGAGGTGTACTGGGCTGAAGGTGGGTGGCATGAGTTCCTGGGGGCAGCAGTTACGGTTCATTTTGACCGTCTCTCTGGAAATTGACTTCCTCATTCCAAGCCCCCGGATGTTTGGCGCCTGCTCTCTATAAACCATAACCTTCCTCTTCCCTCTGGCTTATGCTGCTGGCCTTACATGTGG